TACTACTACTACTACTACTACTACTACTACTGCTACTGCTACTACTACTACTACTACTACTACTACTACCACCTACTACTACTGCCACTACTACTACTACTACTACTACTACTACTACTACGACGGCGACGACGACCACCACTACTACGACCACCACCACAACCACTACTGCTATTCTTGCTAATTATTACTATCTCCAAACGCACGATCTGTCACCTGGTGGAGGCTCTGAAGCGTTGCACCGCCGCAGACGTGGAGAAGCTGACGCCCTCTCAAGGAGGCCGGGCTGGGCCGGGCGACTTGCGACAAGGCCCCCAAACGGCGTCAATTTTTACCTAGACTGTTTTGAGGGTTCCTTATTATAAATATAGAATAGTACAATATACCCCAAAACCCTATTCTAATTAATAAGGCCCCTACATTAAGCCCTAAACTATTCGTCCTAGACCTTTGAGCCCTTAAGCCCCCAGCTCCAAATCTCAAGCCGCAAGCCTCAGCCTTGAACCCTCAAGAATTTACGGTTAGTGTTGTTTTGGTGGCGGTCTTGGACTCGCTTTGGCTTCACTTCTCAGCGGACCGCGAACCACGCCTGGATTGTCCGAGTGTGAGCGCCGCAAACCTAAGCCCTCCGCTTCTTCTTGACCCTGGGGCCCTTTTCTTTAACGGGGCATATAGGGGGTTAGAGGCCTTAGGCTTGCTTTTTCCCAGGTTACGACTGCAACTTCAGCAAGCCCACCAGTGCGGGCCCCAGAACACAACGAGCGCGGGATCAAGGAAGGAGGCTGAATCAGAATTTTGGTAGCTCTCTATATGAGAGTCCCTGTTTAGAGTCCTGTTCATGAGGGTGGCGTGCTGTTGGGTTCCCTAAATCGGGATCTTAATGTAGAGAAATACCCATTGGGGAGGTTTCTTCAGGTTAGAGGTCTCTTTTCTGGAGGGGGGTCCTCAGATTTGAAAAGGATACTTTTTGAGGGCAGAGGTTGGGGACTATGTAACTGGAGTCCGTGTGGGGGGTTGCCTTCTGGAGCTCCCTAGCCGAGATTCGGTCTCCGAGATGTTGGGACCTCTCCAGGATCGGAGGATGGAGCATTGCGGGATGAAGGAAAAAAACGGGCTTCGGGGTCGAGGGTGAGGGTTAGAGAGGTTCGAGTTTCGGACTTGGGGCTTGAGGATTGAATTTTACGGGTTCGGGGTTAAGTCGTCCATGGGGTCTCTGGGTCCGCACACCAGAAAAGGCTTTTTGGCTTTTCCGTAAAGAGGCTGCGAAGCAAGACCCGAAGGGTAATGATGCCATGTGCGTTGCAGGAATGAGGAGCCACAACCAGAGTTCGAAGGGTGGTAGATATGTGACATAAAGGATACCAGCCCTTGAGCCGCGACCCTTACAGCCTGCAGCTCCGCTTTTGAATGCTGTCCGATAGAAGTACTAAACCGTAATGTATGTATGTATGTATGTAT